GGGATTGGAACTAGATGAGCTTTAAGGTCCCTTCCAGTCCAAACCAGTCTCTGATTCACTTACCAGACTGGCACCACACGGCAGGCAAGTGGGGAGGCTGTCTTATTTATTTCAGTCTTGACACTGAGTTACCTTTGGCCTCACGTGGTACAGGTGATAACCATAATGTAGCAACGAGCTGCTCACACTTTAGACAACCAAATGCTTCCTCATGTACAGGAAGTGTCATGCAAGAATATCAGTACTGGGCTTGAAATTGGGATTTTCAAAGGATATTTAGGCAGAACTGGTTAAGAATGTTTTACTCTAAGACAAATGTTGGCACCATGAAAAAGCTTGTTTGACCTTGGTGAGAAGAAATAAAAAAGAATTCTGAAATATTCCAGTTAGGAAACATTTCCATCCCATCTCATAGCAATAGGACTCCCTTCCCTACCCTGCACTACCCAGGTGCTTGCTCACACACAGAAGCAGTTCCATCATAGGCATCCCTAGCTATGGCATACTGTTGTTGATGTCATCTTACAGAGAAAGTAGGAAACAGGAATCCTCAACTCCAGCTCTGATAAGTTGTAATGTCTGAAAAAACACATTGGAAATATTTTTCCTTTAGGTTAGTTCTTTCATGACAAAACTGACTTTTTTTTTTTTCTTTTTGAAGAAAGGGAAGTTATTGTTCTGCAAGTTTAATCTACCAATGACAAATTTCTACTTAGAAAAGGGAATTCTACATTGATGTGCAGTAGAATCAATTCAGCCACCATGAAACTGCATCTGTCCCTGAAGACACAACCTGAGCCATTCACTTGCATGGAATTATGATCACCTATATGAAGGCAGAATTTGGTTCTCAAGTTAACATTTTACTGGATTAGGATTTTTAAATGTAAAATAAAGCTTAACCTAATTCCACTTTCTATAGTGTAATTTACTCAGTGTGATCAAATACATGTTGAATAATAAAAATACACACACACTGCATATTCATTTCTTAGTATCCTGCTACGTTCTGCATGCTGGTATTGTTGTTTAGTGTGATGTCTGCATTTAATGTGAGCCTGTGAACACGCACTGCACTAAGACCAAAGATGCCCAGCTGGTACCTGGAAGCTGCACCCACAGTCAGTTGTCCTCCTGCTGCTCATAGTGCTGCTCGCTATTATCTGAATTGAAATCAAAGATGGAACTGCTTTGAAATGGGAAGCTCTGCCTTTGTAATACCTAATGCAGGCAACTGAAGATATGATGCACATATTTCGTACAGGTGTATTGGATATGGGGATAGAATATAATCAAAGTCTTCCCAAAGCAAATACCCTAATAAATCAAATTACTCAATCTAACAGAAGACAGACTTTTACAAGATGCTTCCATGTATTTTCTTGACTCATATTGTTTTTTAACATTTTAAAGTACACACATTCTTAATGGCAGCTACAGCTTCCAAAAACTCATACTGAAATCTATTACTGCTTTGTCATTAGAGAGAATCAGCTCTCAAGGTCTGTGTCATCTTTATCTAGAGACACCAAGCCCAGGAAATTTATACTCAGTCTTGTAACCTTTGTGCCTTGGATAAAAAGGTGGGTGGCTTTTTTTGGCAGAGCAGATTGGTAAACCTGTGACACAAGTATTTTGACTGTTTAGTCACTCCAGCTCCAATTGTAGTGAAGGGTCTAGAGGTCGGTCTGCGGGTCCTGCTGGGTGGAGAGAAGAAGGGGTTGGGAATAGGAGAAAAAAAGTAGATTGCTTACCAGTAATAGGAATTAATTAGTTAATGTTTATAAAGTGCTTTGAGATGAAAAGCGGTATACAAACCTAAATACTATTAAATAATTGAAGCTCTCCAAGTGGGGGATCATGGAATAACAGCAGGGATTTTTGTTGCCTCTGTGTCTATTAAGCTTGTTCTGCATATATCTGACCATTCGTGAAACAGACATGAAAAACATCCAACAGAGTAACCAAGAAAACCAGTGAATCAGAACTGCTGATAAGATTGTAGGCACAACAGCATGGGGACTCTGCCTCAAGTACAAAGCTCTTTCAGGTCAAATATACTGTAAAACACATAGGAAATAAACACTCATGCACCAGGGGATGAAATTCTGAAGTCACATTAAGGTAGGTTCCTAAATATTCCACCAGCCCTGAAGTACTCACTGGAATATTCACTAAAGAAATTACTGGCACTGCAGTATGCGCCGCAGAGGAATCATGGAATCATAGAATAGTTAGGGCTGGAAAGGACCTTAAAATCATCTAGTTCCAGCCCCCCTGCCATGGGCAGGGACACCTCACACTAAACCATATCACCCAAGGTTCTGTCCAACCTGGCTTTGAACACCACCAGGGATGGAGCATTCACAACCTCCCTGGGCAACCCATTCCAGTGCCTCAACACCCTCACAGTAAAGAACTTCTTCCTTATATCCAATCTAAACTTCCCTGCTTTTTAACCCGTTACCCCTTGTCCTATCACTACAGTCCCTAATGAAGAGTCCCTTCCCAGCAAGTACAATAAATAATAAAGCAAGTACACCACCAGCACTCCTCACAATTACTTCAGGCACCTGTAAAATACCAACAATACCTAGAACCAAAATTTACAAATCATCTAGCAAAGACTGCAGCTCTGAGCCATAAACAGCATACGCTTGTTGCACAAACTTCTCTTCTACTGGACTGCAAATTTAGTTGATGCAAAGAGCACAACAGGCTTTTGCTTTAGGGATTTTATTAAGGCATTTGCTTCAGCAGGTCCCTGTCATACTCAAACTGACTCAGACATAAGCAGTCCCAGGATGGAAAATTGGCAGAAGGTATATAAACAAAGGGTAACAATCTGCAGCAAAGCATTAGAGGAGTTGAAAGCCTAATGGAGCACCACAGGGACTGATAGAACCTGTCTCATTTAGACAACCTAAATAAAATTAATAGAAGTACAAAGCAGTAAACGGGCCAGTTAAATGAAGGGGCACTCCCTAACCATGTTGAGTACTACACCTAAATAGTGACCACAAAATATGCTCAGTTCTATGTTTCTCCACAACAACATATGAAATATGAGAAGTAACTTTTATTTGGCAGTGAGTCTACTAGCAAGTGTAACATACTGTCACAAAATAAGACGGATTTAGAGGTAAAGTCTTTCTGCCTGAAGGAAATAATATACACCATAAAATAATGAATGTGAGAGAAAAACATCAGCATCTGGGAGGGGGCACTAGAGCACAACACAGTAAGACACTTGATACGTCTTTGCAGGTCTTAATACATGTTGTTTTCTGAGTTAAGAACCTAAGGAGGGGTATTTGGAAATTTGCATTAGATTTGAAGAAGGAGTAAGGAATGACGGAAAACCTTACCTGATCCATAACAAAAGAAAGATTTTGCTAATGCTTCTCCATTCAACATTTCTAAAGCATCCTAAGAGCACTTTGCTATACCCAGCTTTAAAAAAAGATATAGAGTATAAGGAAGAAATCTTAAAACTTCCTTTGAATCCTATTATATAGGACTCCCCAGGGACACTGAACTTGAAGCTACATAAAAATAATTGCCCCTCTGCTAGATATCAGACAGGCTAAGAAGTATGAATAACAGTGTTCCTTGACATTCTGATGTTAGAGCTGTTGATTACTACTGAAGCTAAAGCCCATCTCTGGCCTTAACAAGCTACTACAGTGTATTTTTAATGACTATAGAATCATTTAGGTTGGAACAGACCTTTAAGATCATTGCTTCTAACTGTTAACCTAACACTGCACCTAAACTGTGCCCCACACCAACAGTATAACCAGCAGGTCGAAGGAGGTGATCCTGCCCCTCTACTCTGCTCTCCTGAGACCTCACTTGGAGTATTGTGTGCAGTTCTGGTGTCCTCAACATAAAAAGGACATGGAACTGTTGGAACAAGTCCAGAGGAGGGCCATGAGGATGATCAGGGGATTGGAGCACCTCCTGTATGAAGACAGACTGAGGAAGTTGTGGCTGTTCAGCCTGGAGAAGAGAAGGCTGCATGGAGACCTCATAGCAGCCTTCCAGTATCTGAAGGGGGCCTATAGCAATGCTGGAGAGGGACTCTTCATTAGAGACTGTAGTGACAGGACAAGGGGTAACGGGTTCAAACTTAAACAGGGGAAGTTCAGGTTAAATACAAGGAAGAAGCTCTTTACTGTGAGGGTGGTGAGGCACTGGCACAGGTTGGCCAAATAAGTGATAAATGCATCATCCCTGGCAGTGTTCGAAGCCAGGCTGGACAGGGCTTGGAGCAACATGGTATAATGTGAGGTGTCCCTGCCCGTGGCAGGGGATTGGAACTAGATGACTGGGGTCCTTTCCAACCCAAACCATTCTGTGAATCTATGATTTTAACGAGGAGATGGACTGCTGGCTGTCCGAGTGAAAGCGAGAGGCATGCAGAAGCCCTGGCGAAGTTCAAGGCTCGTTCCTTCGCACTTGAGCTGCCACGGGCTTCCCGGCTGTAGCCCGGGTCCTGGCCAGCGCAAAACCCGCGCCGATCTGCCGCCGCACCGGCCCTCAGGCAGACACAACCGCGCCCCTCCAAACAGCTCCCGGCCGCCGCCGCGCCGGCAGGGGGCGGCAGAGACCGCGGAGAGGCCCTCGGCTCCTCACCAGCGCCGCTGGGAGCAGACCGGCGCTGGAAGGCACCGGGAGTGGTCACGCACAGCCACCGGCAGGGACGGGGTAAGCCACTCGGCACTCGCTGGAGTCAGCGAGGTGACAGATTGCTGTCGTGACAGACCCTTGTCGGAGACGGGAGGGCGAGTACAGACCAGAGGTACAGCGGGTGCGAGTCCCGCAGTCAGCACAGGGCCAGGGCACTGCGGCTCTCCCGGCCCGCTGGCAGCCGCAGGCAGGTGGGTCGGTGACCGCATAGAGACTGGCAAGTAGCTGCAGGCCGAACACACAAAATGGAAACATAGAGCCGTGGTACTGCGTGCTCCCGCCCGTCTACAGCCGGCACTGCTGAGGAGCTCAGCAGTGCCGACAGGACGGTGACCACATAGCTTTGTGAAGCACCACGTCGCATGTCTCCTGGGAAGACAGTTCCCACACACCTCTTCAAGGAATACGTTTCACTAAGTTAGCAAAGGCACTCACAAGTCCCTTCTGGGTAGTGGTGTTAACCGTGGCTGGAGAACAGCAGCAACCAGAGCTGGTGCCTACTGCTGTGGGGAGGAGGCACGCTAATGCTACTCAGACAGTGTGGTGCGAGGAGCCTGCCCCAGGCCGGGCTGGGAGACAACCAGGAAATCAGTGTGAGTAAGGTATATTTAGAGCCATCCCAGTATATGCAATTCAAAACATTTAATATAGTTTGAAACACAGGCCTCAGAACTGATGTATTAACTGCATAATAGCAGGAGGATTATGGATCGGACCCAACACTACCAGACTCCCACTGATTGCACTGAGCTTTGGAGCAGGCTTGGCGAGAGGTCGGTATCACCTGTAAGTCATGGGGGGCCATCGTTCTCTCAGACGCCATGTGAACTTGTTTTGACATCTGAAATGGAACATGGCCTATTTTCAACCCATACTAAGCCACTGAGGAATTAAAAAAAACAAAAGGCAACAGAAGGTGCATTGGTGTATCACAAAAGGAGCTGAACAATGCAGAGCAATCACAGAATCATAGAATGGTTTGTGTTGGAAGGGACCTTAAAGCTCATCCAGCCTCAACCCCCTGCCATGGGCAGGGACAACTTCCACCAGACCAGGTTGCTCCAAACCCTGTCCAATCTGGCCTTGAACACTGCCAGGGATGGGGCAGCCACAGCTTCTCTGGGCAACCTGTGCCAGGGCCTCACCACCCTCACAGGGAAGAACTTCTCCCTAATATCTCATCTAAATCTCCCCTCTGTCAGGTTAAAGCCATTCCCCCTTGTCCTGTCACTACAGACCCTTGTCAAAAGCCCCTCTTCGGCTTTTTTGTCAGCCCCTTTAGGCACTGGAAGCTGCTCTAAGCTCTCCTCAGAGCCTTCTCTTCTCCAGGCTGAACAACCCCAGCTCTCTTAGCCTGTCTTCATAAGGTAAGGTGGGATGAAGGTACCAAGTCAAATAGAGTGGAATGAAGAAACAGGGAAATCCTTCCTCCTAATACCTGTTAGAAAGGAGATCCTATTACTTCACTGTGGGCCTAAATCTTAGCGTAACCAGTGTGAGCATCTGTTCAAATTAGGAGCTCTAATGATGGAAAAGACTCACAGAAAAAATTACTTCTACACCAAGCAGGTTGGTAACAGAGGTACTGATAGAATATGAAATAAGAAAATCAGCAGTCGGCTTTTCTTTCCAGGAGGGAGGACTGGTAAATTACATTTTCACATTTTGTCATTAAAGATGTATTTGTGCAAATCCAAATGGGAAGGTCAAGTAAGTCATGCAAGAGTAGTTAAACAACAGTGCATGCATTCAGCAAAAGATCATAATACGAATTCCCAAGGAATAGTGTTAGCAATATTCTTTTCTCCCAATATTTTTCCTTCTCCTGTGTGGACCCTTCATTTTTCTCTTTGTTGTGGTTTAACCAGAACACTCTTACAATTATTCCAAAACCACAGCAACAGTGTCACATTGTGCTGAGCAGACAGCAAACTGTTCGTTCCCTGAATGGCCATCTCTTTCACACACGCAACTCCTCTAAGCTCTGTCACATTGCTGTAGGTGTAGCCAAATCTCTGACCTCAGCCTCTCCTGCTGTATCATGAGACAAGCCTGGAGCAGAGCATGCTGCTGAGCAGAGACAGGTAAGGGAAGCAGAGGGAATTTCTCAGAACAGAAGCATAAAGGCAGAACAGTAAACACACTCTGTACCCCACTTGATCACCATTGCTCCTTGCTACTGAACCTCTACAGAGTTTTTCACCAACTTAAGGAAATCAAAGAGGACTTCAAATTACAGAGCTTTAAGAATGACCATATTCCTACAGACTTACACTACAGAGAACAAATGAGATCCAAGTACCAAGTATCAGTAAATTATTAGCTAAAAGGTATGACTACCTAAAATGCTCTCAGGCACTTGATCTCCAAAAATGCACTAAATTAGCACAGAAAAACAGGCTTTCAAATACAAAATTGCAGTTATTAGGTCTACAAATAAGTCAGCTCAAGACACTGGCCCTTGCAACTGCAAAGACAGAGTAGCAGTCACCACAGAAAAGGTGGTTTTGCTCAATTACTCCTGATGAGAAGTAGCAATAAATGAAAACAAATAATGACATGTTTTATTCCAGTGGTCTACTGGTGGGCCATACTTTTTATGGATACAAATAAGGCTGCTGCTCCATGACCACCCCATCACATACACTCTACTCTCCACCACTTACGAGTGTTGCTCCCTGTGCACTACCTTCCCCCATTTTCTTACTTCTTACTTTATGATACTTACCAAGGTCTTTATGCTCCTCACTTCACCTAATATTCCAAGCCAGGAATCTTTCCTCCCAGAATTCATACTGCCCACTTTGTTCTTTCCTCTCCCAAATAACCTGGCCCACTCCTGGGAACCAGTACAGGTTGGGGGTTGACCTGCTGGACAGTAGTGAAGGGGAAAGAGGCCTGGGGGTCCTGGCGGATAGGAGGTTGACTATGAGCCAGCAATGTGCCCTTGTGGCCAAGAAGGCCAATGGCATTCTAGGGTGCATTAGAAAGGGTGTGGTTAGTAGGTCAAGAGAGATTCTCCTCCCCCTCTACTCTGCCTTGGTGAGGCCACATCTGGATTATTGTGTCCAGTTCTGGGCCCCACAGTTCAAGAAGGACAGGGAATTGCTTGAAAGAGTCCAGCACAGAGCCACAGAGATGATTAAGGGAATGGAACATCTCTCTTATGAGGAGAGGCCGAGGGAGCTGGGACTCTTTAGCTTGGAGGAGACTGAGGGGTGACCTCATCAATGTTTACAAATATGTAAAGAGTGAGTGTCAGGATGATGGAGCTAGGTTTTTTTCAGTGATGTCCAGTGATAGGACAAGGGGCAATGGGTGTAAACTGGAGCACAGGAGGTTCCATGTGAACCTCAGGAAAAATTTCTTTACTGTGAGAGTGACAGATCACTGGAACAGGTTGCCCAGGGGGGTTGTGGAGTCTCCTACATTGGAGATATTCAAGGCCCGCCTGGACAAGTTCCTGTGTGATGTACTCTAGGTTACCCTGCTCTTGCAGGGGGGTTGGACTAGATGATCTTTTGAGGTCCCTTCCAACCCTTAGGATTCTGTGATTCTGTGAAATGCAGATCCTAGTGTTGTCTTGGACACTGCAGACCATAGGAGCTGTGAACTGTTGTTACACGTAGGCACAAATCGGTGCATGTCAGCTGCTCTTCAGGAGGTGGCTAACCTTTCTGTGAAAGAGGTATAACCTTGGGTTTGCCACAACAGACCATGTGGCACAGCTGGTCTTACAGTTTATCATAGCTGCAATTTTGCCTGTTTTCAGTTTATATAAAATGCTGAAGAAACCTCATTTCTTAGCACAACTGAAACTGTAAGAAGCAACATCATACGTGCGTACTTGTGATACACTTTTCACCTTCTGACTACAGCCTATCAAAACTATCTGTGGGACTTACTCCAGCATTCTCCAGCCCACTGGGAAATGGGAACATGCACCAGACCAAACACATGGTTACAAGATAGTCTCTTTGGCAGGAAAATACTGCAATCATGGGCAGGATCTCTTAAAGAATTCTCCCTTCAAATATTGGGGATCTTCTCTCTCAACAAGTGAAACACTGGTCAAGGGGAAATGATTGAGGAAGTTCCTGGGTTTGGATTTGCTTTTAGCCTCCACTATGTTCTTCAATCATTTGGAGATAGTCATTAGATCGGCATCAACTTTCCAGTTCCTGCATTCTGTAAATCAGCCAGAACTCCCCTTGACCTTGGTGGGAGGTTTGCATGATTAAAGCCAGCAGAAGAGAGACAGGAATGAAAAATCACATACAGGAGCCTTACTCTTCTTTTTTTAAGAAAAAAAAAAGTATTTCTAGTGATGAGAAATCTTTTCTACTCCTAAGGGCAAACTTTGAAAGTGAAATAACTGTTACACGCGTATATCCTATTATTTGTTAACAGGTTTCACACAAATAACTTGCTCAAGTCACTTTGAAACATTTCCTTTAATATACGAACACAGGAGATAGATTAAAAGCATGCAAGCCTCCTACTGAATGCCAGAGGCTCTGGAACACTGAACTTAGCACTGTGTAAAATTATCTCTCTTCAAAAGAATTTTCTACTGAACAGATTGAAAAGGAAAAGGGAGGCAGGAGCCAAATAATGCTAGAGAGAATTCAAGTCAATTCCATTACACATTCATATTGATCCTGTTCATACCACTCTCCACTCATCAAACAAACTCAGGTTTCAAACACAGCCAGCCACACCTGGCTATGAAAGATGCTCCAGTGTTGTGGAAATGGGCCACGAAAGGGCAATAGGTGCCAAAGGAGCAGCTGCGGGAGTCACTGCCTCAACACCCATGGCCTGCACCAGCTCCTTAGGGTCTGTAGTGGTGCAGCAAGGGCAGTGGTGGGAAAGGTGACAGCACCTCCAGCTTCAGGGCACAAAGCTGACCCCCTCTGTTACCTGGGCTAGAGCTGCTAGCCCAACACCCCTCAACTCAGGCAAGTCCATCACCAAAAAGATGGCTTTCAAAGGCACAAGTGAGACTTGGATATGAAGAGCCGGTGCATTTTTCAAACTTGCCTGGTTTATTCCTACATCCTTGCTCTCTCTGTAAGAAGCGCAGTTGTTCTCCCAGCACACCTTTAGCTAGTCTCACTCCTACAGGGTATACATCTCTAACTATGCAGTAACCAGCCTGACAAGACCTTGGCCCCGGCTGTGACCTTTCTAGAGCTGTATTTACCGGAAGGCCTCCAACCCACCATTTGGAAACCATAATTAGCCCTACAAATAAAGAAAACTGTGTATAACAGAAAGTTTGAGGAAATTACTCAACAAATTCTGCACTTGGTTTCATTTAAATCCTTGGATTAAGTTTTCACACAAATCCACTCTCATTAAAGATAGTGACAGCTTTGTAGGTATCTAGATGTTCCTATCATACTGATCATTGTGTTATACCAGGGCACAGAGCTGCAGGTAGGCTCCACTTCTCAGGATTTAGTCTGATGTATTTTAAGAACCTCACTGTCAAACACTCTGATACAGGATTTCGGCTTCCTTTCAACTTTTAGCCAAAAGGCTTCATATCACTAACTTGGACTGCAAAATGAGTAAGCATGTATTCTAATAAGGGAAAGATGAGACCTGAATTTCTCCTAGGCTATGAAGATTGGAGGATTGTGCCATATTGCTCTGAGCATCTCCAGCTATCCTTGAAGCCTGTGGCAGCAACCCAAGATTTCTTTGGATCAAGCCTTCACTCATTCAGAAGGTAATTCTCCTGGGATTTTCAATACTGTCAGAGCCTTCCCTTCTTGTTCTTTCTCTTTTTTGTTATTTCTTAAAAACCAAATCACAGCAATGAGTTCATTTTCTTTTCTTTTTTTTTAATTGATTTGTTTGCCTTGTTATTTTATAGAGCACCTTTCATAGTCCACAGTAGGAGTGGTTCAGTGGAGCTAGAACATGCATAGCAGTGGCCAAGAAGCATGTTAGGAGACTGGATACCCAAAGCAGAGAGCTATAAGCAGTAAGCAACCTGACAAGTCTGAGGCTGTCTATGAGTAGCACATTGAATACTGACAAGCAAAAACAGACTTCAAGCTGTCAGGAGTGCTAAAACTCTAGGATGGAGAAGAGTCACTTAACTTTTAATGTTCAAAGGTTGTTTTTCCTTCCTCATTTCTATGTTAAGAAACACTGCCAAAAACAGTGACTGATGCTGGTACAAGTAGGACAGAAATGAAACGGAGGAATAAAAGACTGAAAAGAATGGAAGACTTGCCATAAAAATGTGGGATTTAAAATCTTTCTTTCTTTCTTTCAGGTTTTTCTTTCAGTTCAAATAGTACCAGTTTACACAGTGCTTTCTACTTAAAAACAAGTAGCTGACAGTCTTAGAGTTAAAAGTGCATTTTATCATGATAAATGAAATCAAGTTAAGTTTCCTTGCTAAAACAAAGCACACAGGATTCAAAGGTTGCCATGAATTACTACAACAGCAAACTGTAAATAATGCTTCAAAACTTCAAAAAGTTGTCTGGACCAAATCTTAGGCTGACGTAAGTCATCATAGCTTTAAGACATTAATTATCTTTAAGCTACTAAAAATCTGATTTATGGTAAATATTCCTAGTAGAAGTAACAGACTTTATAAGTTTGCTGCATATAAAAGCCAAATTAACTATATTTATTATTACATGTACTAATTAGTGATACATAAGTCTCAAGCACTCCCTACATGTAAAATATATATGCTCCATTACAACAGCAGCCTTTTCAGTTGGTAAATATTAAATCATTAAAAAATTATGACTCTTCAGTCATTAATGGCTGGTCAACAGGAAACACTATAAACATGGCCTGCTGGTGTTATTTTTTCCAACTGAATGGTCAGCTTTTGACAACTGACTTTACGAGCACGCAGTGCAAATGCATGCAAGGCATCCAGTGATCAACTGCCGGCAGAATCTACACCCACCTCAAAAGCCCCATGAGACTCCCTAAGAACCGTTTATAAAGCAAAGGACAAGACTGGAGGCTTTTTACAATAACAAGAGAATTACAATGCAGTGGTCCACTGCAGCACAAGGAGCTGAAGATGGATAGACTATCATTCTTTCCTGAATGACAAGTAAATGAGGCAGATACAATCTCACTTTTACTACAGCTGTCAATTTGTCAGGTAACCTGAAAAATCTCTTGTGCAAAAAGCACAGCATTATTCAGAAGGGCAGGCACATTAACAATGTCTTTCCACTTGTTGTATGTGATACCTGCACAGTTTTGCAAGGATTTAGGCCTTCTAAAAACTTGGTTGCCACTACACAGACACAGGCTCTAGATATGGTCCCCCTTTTCTGCCAGGATCATTCACTGTTTTAACAGTGCTGTGTCAAGTTTTGTTTTTATCAGCCTTGCTGTCACTTCCTTTAAAACAAAACTCCAGAAACTGACATATCCAACTGATTTTCTTGACATCGCCTGAATTTTTCTTTTCTTATTTTCCTTGCACTGCACTTGCTGTCATTTTTCCGTTGCTTTCACTATGATTTAATACTTACGGCTTAGCTAGGGATCATGCTAACTTATTAAGCAGAAGGAAAAGATAAAGCAAAAACTTTTTTTCCTCTTTTTGTTTTTTTTAAATAGTGTAACAAGCACTGAACAATTCAGGTGTCTGCTACAATGTCATTTTTCAAGTCATTTTTCAGACCTCTGCTGGGCCATACTGAGGGAAAGCAAGCATGTCCTTAGATCACACCACCTTCCTGGGACTCTCAGGAAACCCATGTTTCAAAGAATAACACACCCTCTTTCCCTACTGCATACACCCAACTACAGGGCTTTTTCCTTATTACTTTAACCTAGCTTCCTTTCTCACGTTGTGTACTACCACTCAATTTTTTTTCCACCAGCTTAAAAGTTGCATCTCATTTTATTTTATGTCCATGGAACCCATCCAGGACATATCTGCTCAAGGGAAAGAACAGCATCATTGAAATCATCTTGTTTTCTAAAGACTTCTGGCCTCTGGACCTAATCCAGTTGCTACAGTTAATATCAGAATAGGGTCAGAGGCCACATGAATATTCACAGTCTATATCTAGCTTCATATTCTCTTTAGTCCTTTGCAGTATTTTTTGTTGAAATCATTTGTAAAGCATCCTTATTTATTCATCTATGAATTTTATTTATTCACTTGAACTACTCACAAAGGCTTGGATCAAGTTAGGCTAATATTATGGTGGTTTGCCAAAAATATGAGAAAAATGTTTAGAAATGGGTCAAAAGATGCAAATGTCTTGAAGTAATAATACAAAAGTTCAGAAGAAAGGCTTTGGGAATGGTTTCTGCAAAAGATCACAACCAGACAGAATGAGGCTGGAGAATATAATAATCTCACAGTCAGTAAGGAGGATTTCATTATACATGAAAAGGAGATTACACTTCTTACATGTGGATTCATAACTACATATTTAAACATTTATCTAAATACAATATATGCTATAAAGGCTGAAATCATAGAATCATAGAACAGTTAGGGTTGGAAAGGACCTTAAGATCATCAAGTTCCAACCCCCCTCCCATGGGCAGGGACACCTCACACTAAATCATATCACCCAAGGCCTCATCCAACCTGGTCTTGAACACCGCCAGGGGTGGAGCATTCACAACTTCCCTGGGCAACCCATTCCAGTGCCTCACCACCCTAACAGGAAAGAATTTCCTCCTTATATCCAATCTAAACTTCCCCTGAATATAATCCTTTACATTTAATCTTAGTAGAAAAGCAAATCTTTCAGAAGCAAATACTTGAAATAATAAAAGGTGGCATTCTGACAGGCAGTCCAATGATTCTGTGATATTCCAACAAATACTTAGTTGAGAAAAACTACCAATTTCAACAATCCACTGTTAATCTTCCTATGCTTCCATGATTATAACTAACTCTTCCTTGAACAACATACAGTATTGCACATCTTATTGCCAGTGACAGATTGTCTGTATCTAGAGTTTCCAGTATGCATGCAACAGGCTTCAAAAAAATAGTCAGGCTCAGAAAACGTAGTACAGGAAAATCTCGGAGCATATAAAAGCTTGACATATGTGGATAATTGATAGCAGACAGAATGCAATGGCCAAAAGCAGCACAGGCTGTTGCCAGAAGGCACATGGCAGCTTCACTACCGCTGCAGCATCTCTCCACATTGAATAGAAAAGTATAGTAGATTCAAGGGAAATGGCAGGCAAATTGGGAAGTTTTCCAGAACCAGATTTACTATCAACTATTGATCTTACAAACAGAACAGGTAAAAAGTTCTGTTCTTGCTTTTAAGTGCATTTCTAGGACAGACCTCAAAATCAAGTAATTTCATGGTAATACTGAAAATACTTAAAGTTCTATTCATTCCAACACTAAGAATTTCTTTGTTCTCGTTCTAATCTGTCAAACTATCTTACTGCAATAATGCATTTTGATTTTATCACGTCTCTTTTCAGGGTGGCTTCTGACACTTTTTAGAAAGCTCCTTGTAAATGCATTTCATTGGAGAAAAGGATATCACTACATCTAAACACAAAAGACATCTATACACAATATACAGACAGTGTCTATATTTGCACACAAAACTTTTGGTTCTTACAAATTTCTGAGTGAATGTGATTGTAGGGTGGTAGAATGAGAATACAACTTCATAGTCACAGGCAGGAATACAGGTCACTAACTGTTCTCCAGCTCAGATCATTTATAATTAAATTCAACACCTCTCTTTGTACCTGCAAGAACTGCCTTACAGAAACGTAGTGCATACAGTATACCTGTGAGCACATGCAAGTCGGACATGCTTGCCAAAATCAAATGCCAATGTTAATCTTTTTCTTCATGGCAGTTACATTGAGGAACCATATCACTCACATTGCCAGCATGAAAACAGATGTTTTCTTCATGCCTATCAGCACTCTAGGGCCAACCTCACATTGAAACCTGTCCAGAGTTTTGTCACTGATCCCAACAGAGAGCAGCTCCTCTCTTGGCCTTCACAGGAAAAACTACAGGGCAACTTTTCAGTAACCATCACCCCCACTGAGATTAGAAAGTCAAAGCTCAAGTCTCTTCCATACATAGAAAAGTGAAGTGAAAAACAGGTCATCTGAGTGTCTATATAAGAAACTCTGTGTCATGTGTTACTGAAATCACAGTGCTCACTTGCGCAGAAAGAAGGTATATACCAATGGATAATCACAAATTTGTGTGTGTGTGTAAACAGCAAGAATATTTTAGCCCTAAAGTAGATAAAAGACTTTCTGATAAATCTTAATATTATAATGACTAACCTAGTACATCTGGTTTGGGCTTAATGGTCAAAACTGAAGAAACAATCACTGTGAGAGCCTCAGACATTTTCTCAAGGGGTAAGAGAACTGTTTAATATAAAAGCAAATAAGATGTAAGTGCTAAATAATTAAAATTGTTCCATTTGCACTAAGGAAAATAGATTACAGAATCACAGAATGGTTTGGATTGGAAGGGATCTTAAAGCTCATCCAGTTCCAACCCCCTGCCACGGGCAGGGACACCTTCCACTAGACCAGGTTGCTCCAAGCCCCGTCCAACCTGGCCTTGAGCACTGCCAGGGATGGGGCAACCACAGCTTCTCTGGGCAAACTGTGCCAGGGCCTCACCACCCAAAGGGCAAGAATTTCTTCCTAATATCTCATCTCAGTCTCCCCTCTGTCAGTTTAAAGCCATTTCCCCTTGTCCTGTCCCTTGCAGGATTTCTTGTAGGCCCCTTTTAGGTACTAGAAGCCACAGAGGATCTCTCTGGAACCTTCTCTTCTGTGAATAGGAAGACTCATCAAAAAACTACCTGTGCTCCAGAGTACCTTATCACCGCTCATGTGCCTCTGTAATCCTTCTGGATACTCCTCAGTCAGCTCCCAGCTGTCACTGATGCCCACATAAAAAAACACGAGCTGGCTTCACTGTGTGCTCGCAGCCCAGAAAGCCAGCCATTTCCTGGGCTGCATCAAAAGGAGCGTGACCAGCAGGTTGAA